AAATTAATTAAAAAGAATGTAATGTTGGAGCAGACCATATGCGAGTGCAAATAGCATTAATAGATTTCCATGGTAGAAAGATAATTCGCATTTTTATCGTAGCCCGAAACAAATTTAATTACGAACCGTTTACGTGCATAAAAATGTCGCATACAAATAAAATACGATCCGAATGCCCGGACAAAGCGTACTAAAAAGCTGGGCTAAATAGGCGTCATAATAATAATAATAATAATAAGCCCGGAAAAATATGGAAAAAGGCGACCGGCGAATGTCGTTTCACAAACAATTCAATAAATGATATTAATTCAATTAAGGCCCGATAAAGTTAATCTGCGACATATTCCTAATGCATTATCTGAATCCGACGTAGGCATATGGCCGCAAACTCATATGGGAGAGAGAGAAAATTTAATTTAATACGTTTTATTGGCATTACATTTATGATTTATTCAATTAACTTTCACGCGTGCACCATACGAACGCAAACGGCACCGTCCCTCCTCCATCTCCCTTCAACTCGTACACAGTATTTATATAATACATAGAGACCGTATGCAAATATGCGTATGAGCGTATTACCTTTTTTTTTCCAAATTATCTTTCGTCGCGATAAAAATCGAACAGATTTCCATGCACACCCACAGTCTGTTAATAATTGTTTAATTAAATGTGCTAATCAGGCGACGCCACGGTCGCTCTATAACTAAAAATAAGTACTTGCCAAGTCTCGAGTAACATACCTACAATTTAATGGATCTATTCTAACAAGTACATATACAAGTAATTAGAACTACTTCAAATAGTTTCAAATCATTTTATCTTTGATTATATTTCGATTTAGTTTACAAAAAAATCAAAATGTCTCTTAAGATTGTTTATAGATATTTTTTCTCTCTCTCTCTCTTTGAAGCATTGAAAACTTAGAGACCGAATTACATTATTAAAAAAAAAATATTTTTATTATGAAGAAAAAGCGGACTAATCAAGAACTTTAAAACTTTGTATACTATCTTTATTGAATTTAGTGAAACCGCGCTGTGCGAATTATTATTATTTTAAGTAAATAATTTGGAGAAGTTTCACTAAAATATAATGATTTTTTTTTCTAACTTAAATCAATGAACTGAGATTAAATACATTTTCCTTCGTGTGTTATCAATTTTATGAAATATTTTCTTGATTTATGCACTTAAAATCAAATTTATTATATATTCAAGTCATGTTTTAACAAAAATTAACAAAATTATAATTACTATAAATTACGTGCAGTAAATGAAAGAAAAATATACAATTTTTATTTTGCTAGTATAATTTTTTTTTTAGAAATGTTGTCTTTGTTGTGATTAATGTGAAATTTGTTTGTTTGATTTATTTATGGTGAAACATTTTGGAAACAGTTTATGAATTAGTAAAAGTTAATGAATGAAATTTGCGTGTGTCATTTTGGGCAGGGATTAAGGTCAAAATATGGAACTCGTTTTGTTGCATGTTGCGGTGTTTTCCGCGTTGATGCGCATACATCAATTGCAATGCAATAATTGCGATTCGGCTTAAATAGTGAGTTGTCCGTAAACAAGGCTGATGTGACAATTGTGTCCCGCACCCCCAAAGTGCATATATACCATTAAGCGTTAAATTTTATTGCACCCCCTCAACACACACGTACGTATGTAGCCACATGCACGGGACCATTCATAATTCAATGGTTTGTTTATATTAGGACCTATTTAGGAACACAACCCCGCTTATTTATATTATTAGCAGGTGGCCATCTGGCCTGATCTGGTCCATCCTCGGAAATCCTCGTCAGGGGTTGGGGCGCTGTTTGGTGGTAGAAAGGGGGTTTCGGGGACGAAGCCGAAGAGATTTACAGCGCGACGATTAATTTTCAATAAAACCCGCCTACCAACTCTCCCCGTTGACAATTATTTGATTTCATCCTCTCGCGCGCAATTTACTACCACCCCACATCAACTAAACCACCCCTCAACAACAACAACAGCAGGAATGAACTTTAATTTTTTAATGGGGCATCCAATCCTATCCGGATCTTGCGTAACGATGATGACTATGAGATGGAAATGGAGGATGAGGATGATGAAGGAGGTCGAGAGGGCACAGACGCGCCGCTTGTAAATCACTGTGGAAACGATCATAGGGATGTTTTAAAGCTCTCAGGCGATTTCGCCGATTGCCTCTTGATATATGGAGGTTATGTGCACGTTCAATGCTTATAAATGACTCGCATTAGTGCTCTGCCAATCGGACTTTCCGAGCCGATTTCAGAGATGCCTCGCGATTTATTGCCCAACCCCCCCGAAACCGCCTCATCCCAGTCCTACCGCCGCCCCCCAATTTTCCCTAACCCGAGCCCCATTCAAGCCCAAAAACATATGAAAGAAAGAGCAAATAAAAAAAAAACTAATCACATAAATCCACCGTTTAGAGATTTCCGCAATTCCTTTCATTCCCTTTAATGCCATTTCCAATTAATTTAACAAACGCTACTAACTCCAATTTATAATTAAACTGTTAATTAAATTAGCTGCACTAAATTCAAAAATGATATTTACAAATTTCATATAATAAAAAATAGTACATTCGTATGAACAAAAATAGACAATGTGAACACAAAAAATACTGTTGTTTTTGACTTATGTCCCAAACTTTGTCTTTGCATTGATATTTATTATGGATATTAAGAATTTTTCATAGTAACGATTTTATAAACATACAATAATTAAGCATTAACTAGCATTAACTTTTCTATACGATTGTAACAAATCACATTTTCTTAGGATGTGTAAGATCCAAGATCATCGAATAAAATGTTGATTTTCTTTGAAATCTGAGGTGCTGTAGAGGAGCTTCAATACATTTCATTGGCTTAGAAATTCTCCGTTTTCTTCTTTGGTTAATTGCATCGGATTGCGTGGGTGGCTGGGATGTTGGAGGGACGAGTTGGGAACGGGGATGGTGGATGGATGGAAACGGGGAATCGAAGGGGGGATCTGCAGGGATCGAGATGAGAGAGAATTCGGCGCAGGGAGGAAACGCGAACGAGCGTTCATTGTCGGATGTAATCCAATTACACTTCATCAAGAGTACGCTATTTTCAGCAATGCCGCTTAGATGAGCTACAATTTGCATTTAATTATCACATATAATTCGCATTAAAACGGTCCGCAGCGTCCCGACGCAGCATCCCTACAATACATGCATTCCAGCAATGTATATATATATATATACTTTATATATACATATAGTATGTATATAGCACACATAGCTCGAGTCAGATATATTCTGTTTTTGGGGGCGGTCGGGTGCTTGGTAGCTGCCAACTTTGCCGTGAAATCGTAGCCACCCCCCAGCGCCAATTCAAACCCCTTCCGTTTCCCCACCTACCCATCCAAACGGTCCGCGACTCGAAATTTGAATTTGTGATTTGATATCGTCGGATACGGCCAAACACAATTACACAAATCGAGGAAAACGCCGCACATAATCCAATCTGTAATTCGCCAACTCCCCTACCATATCCAAATTTTAGCAATAACATTTGTCAGTCGGACAAAACCTTCTAACTAGAACGTCATTTTCAATTAGCCAACAGAGGTATTCATGAGGGTGATTACACTTTACACAATTCCATGATTCCCATCTCCAATCAAAATTTTAGAATTAAACTTTCATAAATCCTTCTCTACATTTCAATTCAAAAACTCACATATTACTTCCATCCTATATTATAATTGTAAACTGTTTATTATATATTTTAAGTAAATTAGTTAAATGTTTTTTACATTAAAATGTATCAGTAAATATGACTATATGAATATAAAAACAATTCGATTAACGAAAATTATTAATGACGGTAATTAGTTTTTAGATTATTCAATGTTTTGCAGTGTCGTTTGAGGTCATATGATAATAGTAGAACACAGGTTGCCTATGTTTTGCAAATGTACAATATTCAGTTAAAACAAAATATGTGCTCTATAGTCCGTGAAAAGCAAATAAGAAATTAATTAATGACTAAGAGAGCAGCAACAAATCTTAATAAGTCTTTGTCTACTTTATTATGTACTTAAGAAGAAGTTTTATATAGAAACTAGCTGATTAGTTCATTGATCACAATCATATTCGTAGTAAGTCCAATATTCTTGACATTCCAAGTATCTGTTTAAGATAACAATTAACACTTTTGTATCGGATGTTTTTGCTAGAGGCGACCATAACCATATAAAAATGTATGTTATATAAAAAATATTATAGACGTCTTCAGAGGGAGGAGAAACAGGGTACATTTGTAGATTTGAGAGATTAATTTGTAATTTAAGTTGTGGGTCAAAAGGTTTTGCTTTAATTGAATCAATTTAGATGAAGTGAAGGGTGCAATGTGCAAATATTGATCGGATGAGGATAAAGTGTATAATTAAATCTGTTAACAAAGAGAGTATTAATTGTTGATGCGAACAGATGTGTTGATTTTTTGATTCGCGCATGTAAATGGGTCAATTGTGAAAGTACCTGTTTGTGCGTGTCGGAGTAGTTTGAAGCGGATTAGTTGAGTCGGCGTCGAGCGTCGCTTTAGTTGGAGTTGGTGGCGACGGTGACGACCCTTCGCGCCCTAAAGGCAATACAGGCAAAGAGATGGAGAGAGTTAGAGTGATAGAGAGAGATAGGGTAGGGAAGGGCCGAAATTAGGGTGTCGTTAAATGTATTAGGATATTAAATTATCATGACAATGGCACAATCAGAAGGGGGCTCCGCGAGCGGTGATAAATACACTGCAAACATACGGCCCTTCTGGCCACAGGTTTTATATAAACGGTGACAAATTAGGCGGGCACCGACGTTGTTCCCCCTTATGAATAATTAAATAAATAAAGTTTTCAAACAGCCATTGTCCTGGAGGACTTCAATTAGCGTTGAGGGGACGGGGATGTTTTGATTAAGGGCGCGACTAACTTTGGGAAATCTTTTGGCAATTGCAGGTTGCGGCCCGGGTCACGCGCTTCTTGGAAAGACGAGGAGACCTAGGACGGCGTTCACTTCGCAGCAGCTGCTCGAGCTCGAGAAACAGTTCAGACAGAACAAGTACCTGTCGAGGCCGAAGAGGTTCGAGGTGGCAACAAGCCTGATGCTCACCGAGACACAAGTAAGTACGATCTCCTTCCTTTCAACCTACCAGACAGACCTTACCCAAATAATCCCACCGCATCCGACACGCAAACATCCAGGAACCGGCGTCAGGTGGGAAGTGTGTGCACGAGATTTAAGTGCGATAAAATCCGGCAACCCGCCCTTCCAAACCGTGATAAATCCTATCGCGTCACATTTTAGCAGTTAGTCATTGCAATCCTAAAATATCACTTCTGTCTGCTTTGTTTGCATCCTGGCTCAGCTCCACCATCCATCCAACTTTTGCGACCGTCCGCCAAGGAACAACCAGCAATCAATGTTCCGCTCACTGCAACAGCCACAACCACCCTCCCTACATACAATAAAAAAATACTTCACTAAATTGAGCAATTACCAAATCTTATACAATTCTATCAATTAATTCTTATACTAATCTCATAACTTATCCGAATCTCCATATTACGTGATATAAGTATAGAAGACTGAACAGTCATTAATCATATTTCGTGTACATTTTGTTACAGTAGAAAATTAACTATGAATAAACCACTAGTATCTCAGAATGACTAATGACATCGTTTCATGACTTATTGATCTATGATTAAATTCAAGTATCTGTTGTGATCAGTACACATTTAACTTCCAGATTTGTTTACAACTTATTCCACTTATTTACAGTATATATTTGTTTCATACTTATTACCTAACTCTTTCAAACTATTATTACAAAAACTATTATTACAAATCAGATTCTAAATCAAAGACCTAAAAGAAAACTTAATGAATCTTTCAGATATCCTCTATCAAATTTAATTTGTACTTAAATGATGAGATGGTCACATTCGAATTGTATCTTATAGAAAAAGTTTTACTTAATGAACTTGAAAATGATACAAAGAAATATAAATTCAATTGAATTATGTACAATAAAACTGACTGTAGATTATCAAATTCATCTTAGATTCAAGTTTTTGAATGAAATTAAAAATAATACGAAGCAGGATTATGGATTATCAAATTCAACTTGTATTTGACTAATAAAATTGAAAAAGGAAATTTCCAATTGACATATTTTTTTATGATATTAATTGTGATATGAATGAATACATTTCTTTTTAACATTAGCATTACATTCAATGTAATCAAAATCAATAATAATATTAATACAAATTATGCAGTGAAACGTAAATTCCTTATAATAATTATTAAATTTAACCCTGAATATAGTTAAAATTAAAAAAAAAATATTTTAAAACACATTAAAATTAAGTTGCCTATAAATTTTCAATGATAAAACTATTTGGTACTTTTCTGGTGAAGTCAGCCAATTTTAAGCTTAAATCGTGTAAGAAGTGAATTATAGTGATTTAGATTATATAAACGGATCAATTTTCATATATATATATTTAGTAACAATATTATTTTATAAACTTATTTAATGGTATTCTGCTACACAATTTTTCTTTTCGTTACAAAATTACCTATACAGAAGTGTATTACTTGAATGTAAGTTTGTATGCATTTTTGTATACAATATAAAGATTACAATTAAATAACAACAAGTTTTTAGTAACATAAATATGCCGGTACTTATAAGTACAAAGAGTTAAACTTAGATTTCAACAAGTTGATATATCTAAATAATGTTTTTTTTTTGGTTTATTTCAGGTGAAAATATGGTTCCAAAATCGACGGATGAAGTGGAAGCGCAGCAAAAAGGCCCAACAGGAGTCCAAGAGCAGCAAAGACGGAGATCAATCCAAAGCACCGTCCATCTCCAAAGCTCCATCAACCTCTCACACCACCCAAGAACCCTCTAGTCACAGCAGCGAGACCGGCGTTCGAAAACCCTCCGACGGAGAATCTCTCTATAGGCCCTACGTCGTCTGAACCCCTAAAAGATATCCAGTGATTAGTGTGCACCCACGAACAATACCAAAAACATCCACCATCTCCATTAATATTATAAATTATTATTATTTTCTTTAAATATAATTTTATATAAGCTTTAATTTATTTATTGTTTTGTACAAACAAACAAAAATATGAAAGAAAAAACGTTATTTATTATTCCCCACATATAATTTTATTTCAGAAGCAAATTATGAATTGAAACATTTTTTTTATACACCATATGTAAAACAAACAGTATATATATATAATATAATGTAAGACCTTTAGTGAAATTTAGGTTCTCAGTGTGAAATATGTAAATAATTTGAAGTTCCTACATATTGTAAATTATAATATGTATATCGTAAAGTTAAGTCTAATAAATTATATTAAAAAAAAAAGTACAGAATTGTTCCATTTTTTTTTTGCTTTTCAAGGTAAAAAAAAAACTGCAGATCGCTGATTTAATTTGTGGGTGTAAATTCCAATTCCAGTTCCGAATGTTCAGTTCAGTTCCGTTATGAATCTATTTGCCGCGCGTATTTAAATATTGAAAAAGATTATTCTGCGCTCATCCATATTCAAATCTCACGCTCTGCAAACTTTCATTAGTTATTTAAACCGAAAAAAATATTCTTTAAAAATTCTTTACAAATATTGTTTTTTTTTTTCACTTTTTGTAAGGAATTATTTAATTTTGGGTGGAAAGTCTCAATAATTATTTTCATTTAATTTAAAATAGAAATACCTAATGTTTTTGAAATGATTAAATATCGAATATTTCTTGCGCTTTTTGAAAAGTTAAACAACCTACTTGGATAGGTGATTTTTCTAAAAGTAAAAGACAACTAAATCGAAATCTGAGAAATATGAAGATATACAATTTAGTTTACAATAGTTAAGCAACATATACAGTTAAATAATTGGATGGGTGAGGCAAAACTTTCATAAAATAAAGGCATATATGAAGATTTTATAATATTAAGTAAATTATACTACAGTAATTACATATAAATCTAAGTAAAACAGCCTAGTTTTGTTAAATTGTCATTGCTTTGAAATCTTGTGGGTCTATTACTGTTTTTGCGTTTATTGTTCCATTCAGTGGATAATTCCAATATAAAAAAAATGAATTGCATGAGATTCTGTGTCCTTTGCCATGAAAATAAATCGATAGAAAACCCGTAATCTGGGAGAAGTCGTAATGGGAATGGGCAAGGGTGGAAGGACAAGGAAATAAGAAGACTAGTAGTAATATGCTGAAAAGATTAGAGTGATGATTCGTAGAGAATCTTAGGGGCGTGTTGTGTCGAGAGGATAATCTCTTTCTCTATCTTTCTTTCGTTTCACGAAGATTCTTCGCCGGGGAACTCTAAAACATTGGAACTGATTGTATTATGTGTGCGGCGAGTGTATCTCTCCTTCTCTGTCTCACTCCTCTCTTGTTTGTGTATGTGTATATATAATATGTGTGTACTATATATATAGTATGTATATAGTAGTGTACGGTTCCTCGCTGAATGAATTGTATGTATTACAAGTCCATATCGCTCTTGGTGCAATTTGCTAAAAGGTTTTGTCTAAAGTGGAGTTCTCGCTTAACTTAACAACTGATTCGCTATCATGTTTATATGTATGAGGTACACTCGACGCCAAAAGTCGCCGAACCACACACACACACTCACAGAGAAACTAACACATTGAAAAAGGAAACAGCCCCCGCACGTTAACAAACATCTTTAAGAAAACGATTTCAAGTCGTTCTTTCAAGAAGAAAAAAATAGTAAAAATCCATTATACAATTTTACATCAATTACAATATACGGTGGAACCTCGCTTAACGCTTAATTAATTGTAAGAAAAATGTCTCGCTTAATGAGAAGAGAAGTCCCGGATTAACCACCTTGTGCAAACATATTATGTGTATTTTTTAATATATTAACCATCTTTGATTTTCTTTGTCATCTTTGTTTAAAGCGGACTTTACTTTGCAAATATAATTTGTGTTTGCTGTAAATGCAAAACACAATGTGTCCAACCATTATTATAATAGATAAACACACTATGTACGCTTTTTTATATAAACAAATATTAAAAGTATACAGAGACATCCACCAAGTTTCCGAATTGATACAAGTAATATAAACAAATATAAACTCACTTCACCGTGTATGAAATTTACAAACTTGTGTTCAGGCATGTTATTTGTATTTTTTTTGTGCAAATTTTATTTTTCGGTAGTGAATGCATCGTAATTTACATTAGTTTATATGGGAAAACGTGTTTCACTATAAGAATATTTTACTATAAGAGTAAAAATTCGAAAATCTTATCGGATTAAACTCGTTAAGCGAGGTTTCACTGTAATCAATTAATTAGATGTTAATAATTGAAATTTCTAATTTGAAAACAAAAATTATACAGTAAATTCAATTGTAATGTAATGTTAGATACATATTTATTATAATTAACATTTAGTAAATGTATTTGGATACATGAATAATGACATATTTACATAAGCTTAGTGTTACCTAAAATAATGAGATTTTTCAATTATATTCAAAACAACAAATTTAACAAAATGAATTTTAATCACTTTTTTTACTAATACTTATTGTTGTTTGCACGGTATTTTTTATATTTTTTTGTATATTTATTCTAAGTTATTAGGTTATTGCAGGGGTTCCAACCTTTTTGCATCTAAGAGCACATTCTAGAATGCGGGTCGGATGGCGATGGACACTTGATGCCAATCTCATGACTGATAGTTCTTTTTTTTTGGATGTTTTGCAATAACTTTCCAGTAATCTCGTTCTTGATTAGCGAAACTCGTTGATTTTCCGGAACGTTTTCTATGAACATCTATTTTTTTCAAAACTCATTATTTCCAATTAATTACACAAATACAAACAGAAATTACAAAATAAAGAAAAAGTTATTAACTAATAAGAATAGAAATAATTTAAAGCAAAAATGTTGCTATTTTACAACTTCATTCTAATAATATTACCGTTAACAATGTGTATATTTAAATCATCATCTTTTTTAAATAAAGAACTGCATAATCTAAATAAACACTGTGAACATGTTGCGAACGGTCGAAATCATCAGATGTGTACTTAGAGGTGTCGAAAAGAAAAGATGATTATAGTTTTTTTTTTTATTTGCTTTTGCCGTCCCCCTCGGCATAAGCGAAAAGGCCAAGTGCGTTACAAGCGGTTCCCCGGGTTTATTATTGTGTTTAAAATCGAGGGGCGGCAATCTGTCCGAGTCGGTCTCTCGATACATTTGAAGGAAAAAAAATATTCGAAAACACACAGCGCAAACAAACTCCGGGGGTTAACATAAAGGTAAAGGGGGATTCCCCGTGGCGAATACAGAATAATAGCAACGAAGATGATCAACGGAGATAAATAGAAATAAACGGCGTTGAATGCGGCAATTGTTATTTCGGCACCCTTTGATAAGCTAATTAGGATATTAACGTTTGTTTGATTATTCAGTAACAAATCACGTTATTTATTAGTGAGTATTTACGTTAATTGTATTATTGCTGAAATCTTGTTAACACAATTGTTGCGTGACGGTTAATCTAATTAAGTTTACATAAAAGAAAATTGTTGTATTTGTCATAAAATATCAATTTATTAATGTTTAAATGTAACTTATTTTTACTAGTTAATGTACTAATTATTAAATATATACTTGACAACTACTTAACCCGTTGTCGTCTGATGGTACTTATAAGTATCGGCACATTTATGTCACTATTTAAATTAGAAACAAACAGATCTAAATAGTTGTTGGTACTTTAATGTAATCTTTATATTGTATACAAAAATGATTTGTTTTGTAATTGGAAACACCAAATAAGTATAAACCTACATTCAAGTAATACTTGCAACTTCTGTCCAATTGTAGTGCAGAATAACATGAAATACTCTACTCCATATTATTTTGCAATTGATCACATTTAGTTTATACCTCACGTTATATGAAAGTCTATTTTGTTTTATTTTCAAATTTAGAGATAATTTATTGAAAAAAATATTTTAATTTTACCATCGAACTATAAGACGCAAAAAATTTTAGTCCATTCTTCTATGAAAAAAAAGTTGCGTCTTATAGTCGAAAAGTTAGGTATATTTGTTATATTTTCGCATTTATTACAAACAGTAAACAATTATGTAATAATAAATGTATTAGTTAAACAACAAATGAGTATAAACCTACATTCAAGTAATACTTGCAACTTCTGTCTAATTGTAGTGCAGAATAACATGAAATATTTTTATAAAATAATATTGTTACTAAATATATATATACATGAAAATTGATGCGTTTTTGTAATTTAAATCACTAAAATTATACGATTTAAGCTTAAAAATTGGTAAAATTTAATAAAAATATTATAGGCAACTTAATTCTGATGTGTTTTAAAAGAAATTCAATGATTTTTTTTTAAATATTAACTATGTTCAGGTAACGAAGGGTTAAAGTGTCAATTAAGATCTATTTTTTAAATAAATTGAAAATATTTATAGAAAAAGGAGTGGATTCAGTCAGAATGAACCAGTAACTTAATTTCAGTTTTGTGAAGTATAATTTAAATAAAAATAGCAACAGTTATCCAAAACATTGAGAAAATAATGAAAATATTTTGCTTAAATATTTTGCATAAATAATCACAATAGTCCTTTGTAGCATCTTTATTATTATTTTAACTAACTCTAATATTGAACTAATTATTAAAATTGTTATAGTAAATTTTTTAAATAAAAAAAAATGTTTTAGCTTTACGTTAAGAAACCAGAGTTGGTCCAAACCAGGCAACTTTTCACTACATATCGAAATCTTGCAAATAAAAGTATTTGTGAGGTTTGTCATCGATTTATGCAGGTAAGATTTTTTTTGTTTCTACAAAGATCGAAGTAGCCAGGATTGTATACATGTATATATGAAACAATGGAGGATAATGTGATCCTATGATTTGGCAGACGGTGGGGATAATGCCGTCGGCGTGGATTGGCTGAAAGGACTTTTCCCCGTCGTT